AAATTGGTTTGACTTTGATTTATCTCGAACTAAGGGACCATGAAGGTTGATCCTTTCAAAGATTAAACTAGCATTTATACACAGTTTGTTGCAAAGAGGTAGATCTCTGAAGTAGGTTTATTTTTCAGATCTGGAAACATGGTTGACCCAAAATATGAGACTTCACCTTCCAACCAGACCTGTGATGCTGTCGACACATCAGCCAGCACTTTCTTTATGGTGGTCTACAGTCTGCTGTTTGTGGTAAGTGTCAAATCTTCAGACTGTGCTCTGTTATACACTGGTTGAAGTTTTCATAAACTGTTCATGTTGAGTCTGAAGGTGCATGTACCAAAGTCTTCTTTCCATCATCTCTGTGTCATGTTCAGGTGGGTCTACCTCTCAATGGCTTCGTCATAAAGTTCTACTGTCAAGCTCAGCAGCAGGCATCGAGCAGCTTGAAGGTCTTCCTGAAAAACCTGACAGCTGCCGACTTTCTGCTCTGTCTCTCTCTGCCACTGCGCATCGGCCACTATAATAGCGGATCTATAATAATTTGGCAGCTCTACTGCAGCTTTGGAGCCTCGGCCTTCTACCTCAACATGTGTGCCAGCATCATATTCATGGGGTACATCGCTGCCAACAGGTAAGAAACTTTTACTGATTTCAGATTCAGATGCAGTTCATGATGGTGTTGTTGACTACAAACCATGCACTCCTGATGAAAGCATGAGAGATTTCTGAAGGTTTGGCAGCACTGTGACTGATCAGTGAAGTTGTCTACTGCCTCCTTCCTCTTCTTTCTCAGGTATCTGAAGATTGTTCATCCTTCACGAACTCGTGTCCTGCAGACAGTATGGACTGCCCGCATCATCTCGATGATCACCTGGATTTTTCTCGTGACTACAGGAATTATTTTCATCATCCTGTTTTTCATCACTCATAAATCTCTGCCTTCTAGTATCAGCCGCTGTGTTCTCATCTTTAGTCCACTGGTCACTGTGTCCTTCAAAATCATTCAGGCTTTGAGTGTCGTTGCTTTCCTCATGGTCTTCATATCCATGGTCTTCTTCTACTACAGCACCTCCCGCAGGGTGTTGCAGGCACAGCAGAGGCAGCTGACCTCCTCTGGCTCAGAGAAGCTCTTGAAGTCTCGCAGGAACATGTTGGTGCTGGTCAGCATCTTCTGTGTTTGTTTTGTCCCATTTTACCTGGTTCGACTACCCTCAGTTTTTCTGTGGAGCAGCTGCTCTGTGGGTCCAGCATTGTACTACCTGCAGGAGGTGACCACCATGGTTGCAGCTTTCAACATCTGTCTGGATCCTCTTGTTTACTTTTTCCTCTGTAAGACTTTTCATGCTCAGGTGAGAAAGGCATTCAGGGGGACCAACATCCAACAAGCAAATGAGGAGAGTGAGTAGCAGCTGAACATCATTATCTCAACAACAAACCAAAACAGTGAATTGTAAAGAAAACGTTGTTGGGTTTTTTGAGAGTTATTTAAGGTTTTTTGAGGCTTATTGATCCAAAGTCCAAAGCTCAACCTAGCACAAACATTCTCCCACAGAAACCACCAGTGTTTTTT